CGGAAATGTTTTCATTGAATTTTCCAGCACATACTGTTTTAAACTAACCCGCACATACCCGCACATACTCTTTTAAACTAAGTCTGCTCTCTCTCTCTTTAGCAACTTCAGAGCTGCCAGTTGAAATTGAAGCTCTTAAAACTGTCTACAAAACAGGCGAGACCATCGTAGTAACTTGTGTGGTCTTTGACAATGAGGTGGTTAATTTACAGTGGAATTATCCTGGAAAAGTGGTAAGTATCTCCCTTCTTTTGTTGTTCTGTTTGAACGACTGTTGTTACTTATGTGTGAAGAAAGTGGGCTTGTAAAATATTCTTTTCTTTTTGATTGAATGAGGACAGGAGAGAAAACAAAATAATTTGTTTTATTTTCAGATTATCACAAAAGAAAGTCAGTAGCAAAAGTTAGAGCTGATTGTTAGCAAGTATGCAGATCATGAAAAGAAGGTGAGGTGTGACTAGAATACATGTGCCAAGGGAGCAATGGTCTCTTTCAGGCCTTGCCCTGTTGCAGATAGTTAGGGAACAGTTAGTTAGAAAGTTTTCCAGGACAAAAAAAAAAAAAAGAAAAAAGTTTGGGGAATGGAAAGAGTTTGAAATGTGTCGGACATTCCTGTATAACTTTGTGGCTGCAGTTCAGGCCTGAAGCTTTAAAATGTTGCTCCCTAAACCCTGAATTCTTGGGCGGCATAAAGAGCAATGAAAAATCAAGTTTGTGGTCTTACCTGTTCTGCATTGCGCAGCTGTAGATTAAAATGACTCTTACAGTCAGTGCAGTTGCATACTAATAAGAACTTCCTAATAAGAAAACCTTAATTTTTTTGAGGCTGTCACCAATTTTCAGATTTTCATAGCCTTCTTTTACAGTGAAAATTTTTGTTCAGTGAGACTTGATTAAAGCCAGTCAGGTACCCTGTGAATGGAGAATTTCAGTGTGTCCAAGGTGAAAATTCTGTTAACCAAAGGGATGGAGTAGTTGAAGTCACTACCTAATTGTGGTCCCCCAGATCATGCCTTTTATTTAAATAAGTTGAGTCCAATAGGAAAAAAAAAGTTTTGAGAAGGTTTTGTTCTATTTTCCACATTACACACCATAATCTCTGCTATTTGCAGCTATTCAAAACTATCTCCAGCATATTTTTTATTCCAGTCTCCCTTGTCTCACTATCCTTATTCTCACCTGTCTTCTCCCTGACAATAAATTATTTTCATTTATAGAGCAGAAACATAGTACCCACATAGCACTAGAGACCATAGGCATCTAATACCTTTTGTCTGGTGGAACACATAAAAATCCACCTTACTTCATGGGAACTAAACAAAAAAAAATCAGAGTAAAAACCTACTGCTTTTCTGTCTGAGGAGAAAGTAGCAATAAGCAAATTTATTGCTGAGTTTTGGATGGCATTTTATTTTGAATGTGCAAAATATGAGCTCTCCAACTCCTCACCCTTTTGTGTCTGCCTCCAAAAGGATGCCCACTTTTTGTGCCTGTGGCTAAAAATACATCACTGCCCTCACTCCAGCGTGTTGTAAATCCTTGGTGCTATGCTTCAGCATAGTTGCCTAAATAATGCATATATTTTTTTCCTTTCCCAATCTACAGAAAGAAAAAGGTCTGATAAAACTTGATGATATCAAAATCCCATCGCAGAAGCTGATTTACACCTTGACCATTCCTGAGGCAACAGTAAAAGACACAGGGGATTATGAATGTACTGCTCGACATGCAACCAAGGAGGTTAAGGAAAATAAGAAAGTAGTCATTACAGTACATGGTATAGTCTGTTTTCAGTGTCTAAAAAATATTACATCACATTACAAAATGTGATTCTTGCAATGTGCTGCACAACGTTGTTTATGAAGGGCTTTATCATTTGCAGACAAAGGGTTCATTCATCTGGAGCCTCAGTTTAGTCCTTTGGAAGCTGTCAACCTACATGAAGTCAAACATTTTGTTGTTGATGTGCAGGCATACCCAGCTCCAAAAATGTACTGGTTGAAGGACAATGTGACTCTAATCGAAAATCTCACTGAGATTGTTACTAGTTCGAACAGAGTCCAGGAAACAAGGTAAAAATATTCTTATGAATTTCATGTTGCCGTATGGACATATTGCTTCTCCTCCAGGACCATCAGCACCACTCCTGCTTTCTCCTTCCTCTGCAGATAGTTGCTTCTTCCTCAATAACATTAAAAAGGGTAATGCCTAGTCTGCCTCCTTTTATTCCCTTGGTAGCATTAACCTCTCCAAATTAGAGAAATCTTTATTTCTGGGTACTAATCCTCTCCATAATCAATCCGCTCCAAAGATTTCTAGCTATTTTCAGTGTTAGTGTTTTGTTAGATCCCTACAGGGTATAAAAACGCACACTTGTTTTTCACTTGTATTTTGGTGGTCGTTTGCTGCTTATGTAATGATTTCAGAGTAACGATTTGGTAGACATGCCGCAGGTCAACACATTATAATCTCCACACTTAGATTATATGTTGTACTGAAGTAGATTTTTTTAAATGTTTGCTTTAAAAATACGAACAAAACCTCTTTTCTTCAGGTTTCAAAGTATATTGAAATTGATCCGGGCCAAGGAAGAAGACAGTGGGTACTATACGTTGGTTGCTGAAAATGAAGATGAAGTCAAAAGATACACCTTCTCATTGCTAATACAAGGTAAGCATCCCCAGCACCTTGCTCACCAGAGGTGATGGCACGTGACAAACATTTGATCTATTTAACCATGGGGTAAGCAATGAGTATTTGATTGCCTGGAGTTTTGACACAAGAAAGGCCTAAATTGGTGCGTCCAGAGTGTGCTGAATCCTTGGAGTGCTCAGAGTCTGATCCCAGCTTTGACTTCTGCGCTGGCTTTGTGCCAAAAAGAAACTTTATCCTCCCATCTTAAGCTATTCCAGCTGACGGCAGGAACCATAGCTCGTTTAGCGTGACATGTGGACGTGGCATAGCCGCAGCACTTCCTTTGCATGGTTCTAACCTAGGATCTGCTCTCCGAGCTGTGTCTGGATCGCCTGCTGTCACCAAGCTGCTGGTCAAACAGTGCTATTCCTGCTAGGCTTGAAATTTCACGTGGATTCTGTAGACCTTTCCAAGTATCTTAACACGCTCCCAATTCATTTCCAGTTCCAGCCTTGATCTTAGACCTGGTGGATGATCATCATGGCTCAGCAGGGGGGCAGACGGTGAGGTGCTTGGCAGAAGGGACTCCACTTCCCGATGTGGAATGGCTGGTTTGCAAGGACATTAAAAAGTAAGGAGAGCAGGTGACCTGATATCTCAATTCGTGGCTGTTTTTGTCCTTGACTAAGCTAGTATTGTTAATTACCATACCATACTTTCCTTAAAAAGGGCCAATAAACTATATATCTGATTTGTCTTGTGTAGAGGCAAGTTGCCTATATTTAGAAAAAGGTTTTCAGTGCCCTTCCTACTGGCTGTATCCTGTAGGACACAAAGCATCAATTCAGTGGGTTTCCCTGCAAATTTTGTGCCCAGTGAGTGAACTCAGCAGATTTCAGAGTCCTGGTTTGAATAAGGATCTAGAGGAGGAGATGTCTCTCCCTTCAGAGAGTCCTTATCATTTCACAGGTAGACCAGTCTGCCAGATTCACACTCTTGTGCTCTTCACAGTTTTCACTTCTTTTAATTGATTTCCCCCCAAATGATACTCTTCTCCTTCAAAGCCCTTCAGACAAGTAATTATTCCCGTATGTTTGCCAGTTCTAGACTGATCCCTTATAGAAGGACTAATCTCTTCTACAGCCTTTGGGAAGCTGGGCTTTCACTGGGAATTTACACGTCTGTGTCCCTTTCCTCAGGGAGAGAGGGACAACATGAAAAGAGGCTAGTAGCCCTGGGCACCTCCCAGCCAGAGTTCGCTGCCGTTTTGCAAAAATTGCTCACACTGTGGTGGGGTGGGCATCTTCCTAACCTTGCCTCAGTGAGACCTGTGCTGCACTAAGCATTCACCATGACACAGGCTGACAGTAAAAGAGGAAAGCTCTATGGGATATGTAGTAGTACCAAGGTCTGTCTATACCCCTACCTAAGGCCAGTATCAATTTCTGTTGTTATTCTCCTCTGTAGATGCAGCAATGACACCTCATGGACTCTTTTGACTAATAATATCTCTGATATACACATGGAAGCTCATCTGGATGAGAAAAACATGGTGGAAAGTTGGGTGACCTTTCAGAAGGTAGAGGAGACTCTGGCTGTTCGATGCATGGCAAGAAACGACCTTGGTGCTGTTACACGGGAACTGAAGCTCGTGGCTCCCAGTGAGTTATTTTTTTTGCTTCTGTGACATTAGATCACTAATAAATAAGTAAAAGCATAGATTTCCTGCACTGAAAAGAAATGAAAATGGATTTTTTTTTCCACCCTGAGACTTATGAGGCATTCTACAGATCTTTATTTGTGCATCTGTTTTTCACTTACTATGTGGTTCTGTGATTCATTTCAACTTTTTATTGCCATTCACTAAGGGAATTTCTTCTAGAAAACCTCTGCATTTAGTCTTGAAACAGGAAGGCAGAGGTGTTTGGGGCTGGGAATGACTTTACAGTCACCAGTTCCAAGGACTGCTCCTGTGACGTGTGCAGGACACAGGAATTGCAGTGGTATGGGAGATGGGTGTCCTGTACATGTGTTGTGCTCCTAGTGGATCAGGAGGCAAATATGGTCTTTCTTTCCACTCCACAGCCTTGCGATCAGAACTGACAGTGGCAGCTGCAGTCTTAGTACTTTTAGTGATTGTGATAATTTCGCTGATTGTGCTGGTCATCATATGGAAACAGGTAATGTAGAAATAAAAATATTTCAGTTCGGATGCTGAGCCCACCTGGCTTTTGATTTACCCTAAAAGCAGGCACACAACTAACACTTGGTTTTGTACTCATTGTGCTTTGCAGAAGCCAAGATATGAGATAAGATGGAGAGTCATTGAATCCATTAGCCCCGACGGCCATGAATACATTTATGTGGACCCAATGCAACTGCCTTACGACTCCAGATGGGAGTTTCCTCGAGATGGGCTAGTGCTAGGTAAGAGACTAATCTGTTTACCTGGGGAGAAGGATGATTAAGGGCAACACTGAAGTCTCTGCTGCTGGAATTTGTGATATAACTCATGAAGTCCAGAGTCTCTCCATCTATCTGTTCTCCTTAGTTCTCTTCCCATAGTTTCTCTTCTTCCTTTCTTTTCCACATTTGACAAATCTGATGTCTCTAACACCTGGTCTTTACACCTTTCCTCCGTCTACTTAATTGCTCACATCCAGGCTGCTACTTCTATGTCTCCAGCAGCTCACTTGCCAGAAAGGAGGAATACTTTCTCATCTTCTACTGATAATCTTTTTCTTAACTTCTTTCTCTCTGCCCAGCTCCTCTGCAGTTCTTAGATAATCCATCTGTAGAGATTAATTTGTCACCTCTAAGTACATGTGTGCTCCTCTAGGGACATGTCCACACCATGTCAAGGAGCACAGTGCTCATACTGACTGTTCTCGCTTAGAAACCAGCACCAGAAAGTGCTGTGAGCGTGGCTCTGCAAGAAGCCGTGTGGCTTGTGTTGCTACCATCTTGGGGCAAGGAAGATCCTCTCCCAGCTGCTTTCTGCTGAGTCATTGGCATGTGCTCTAAGTAGTCCTCTCTTTCCCCTTTTCCACTGAACACCTCTGCTTAACTGCACCAGGTTCACACTCCTTGTGCCTGCCTTCATGGCTCTGCCTCTTCCCACTTGGTCGAGGGCATCTGCCTTCATATCACCCCTTGTCTGTTCCTCTTTTGCAGTCATCATGCATACATGGGGCTTTGAGCCCCATATGCTGGTGCCTCTGGGCCTCAATTCCAGCTTTCTGCCACATGCCCCGCAGTATCAGACTTGTCTCAAAACAGCTTGCACCGCCCTTCCCAACATCAAATTCCAGCTTCACAACTCACTTCTGCTGAGGCACCCACAAGAAGTGAATCAGCTTTTTTTTTTTTTTTCTTACTACCTGCAGTACATTCATATATTTATGTGAAGAAGCCAACTGAGATATGGAAACAATTATGTAGTTTATTAAAAATATTTTTAGAATTATTAACCCATGTATCATTGCTGAGTAACTACATAATCTTATTTTTGTGAATGCTGGCCTTCCTCCTTTCCCTTCTGTTTTTTTGCTTTGTTGTACCTGAGTCATAGTTCAAATGTAATTCAGTTAATAATTCTCCAGAGCGAGCATTTATATCATTTATATCACTTGAAAGTAATAGATAACTGTAATAATTGTAAGTAATTGTAATGCTCTATCCAGGTAGTGCTTTAAATACTTATGCTAACCCTCTCCTGTATGTATCTGTGCTCAAGCTGTACACATAAAATACAGGAGAAGAAAACTGAAAGATGTTAATGTTTGATGTATTTTAAGGAACATATTCATTCTCTTGGTGTACTACTTCTCCTGACATATAGAAAACATTGATGTCAACTCAAAAGAAGAAGCACAAAAATTTCTTGTTCAGGAACAGTGTCCTTTAAATAAATTCATGTTTTTAATGGGAAACTAGAAGACGGGGGATATTTAAAGGAATTATTTCATTACAGTTCAGGCTTTAATTACATGCCCAAATAGGATTTGTCACATCCCAGTTGTTAATAGACCACCACTGTGATTCTGTCTCCCTCTGACTCATGAATACCAGTTTACTGCAGTGCCTTTCTATTTACTAGCATATTCACAGCAGTAACTGCATTAAAAACGAACTACATGTTTTTTTTTAACATTTTTTCCTTTATAGAATTAATATATATCCATTGCGCAGTTTTGCCATATGTAATGCTGTGTCTCAGGCTGCTGGAACCCTGTTTTGCTTCTGGCTCTGGTGGTTCTGGCTTGCTCAGGGTTTCCACTGTTGAAGCAGAAGAGAGCAGCAAGGGAATCGCACTGTTGATTCCAGATGAGCTCCCTCCCCACTGATTTCGGGATTTGGGGATTACAGTAGACAGGTGGCACACTTGCTCCTTTGCTTCCCAGGGAGCCACCCATTTGTCACGGTGGCTTTAGTAAAACAAAACCCTGGTCTAACAGATGGGATTAGACTCGTCCCCATTTGCAGACTGTAAAAGGCAAGTTAAATAGTTACACGGCACTTAGCAATGTGGTGCCCAATTTCTTGTGAGTTTAGAAATTGGATGTAGACTATCAAGCCTGTCATTCATTGGCTTTCGGTATTGA